GTAAGACCAGGCTGCAAACTATTCTCACAGACTTCAAAGGTGCCCCTGCATAAACGTGCTATACCATGCATCCAATAAGAGAGCGGAGGCTTTCTTCCTCTCTCCCTCCTGCACTGTTCCTGTGCTACTGGGAGTGTAATTACCGCCCCTCCCCCGTCTGCCCAGCAAACACATGGCTGTGTTTGCACCCCTCCCTCCTCTGCTCAGCGCAAACACTAGTGATGTGTGATACCACTGATTTCCTTTCCGATCCGATACCAAGTAATATTCAGGGTGGTATCGACAATACTGATCCGATACCGATACTTTGTACAAAAACGTATTTTATTTATTGTATCTCAAATTACAGCGTCATAATGATTACAGGACACCAGATTACTTGTTCTTATCACTTAATAATGCAGGGTTCATCATATAGAAATAAAAAAAAAACTGAAGTTGTGCGCTATTTGAACACCTTGCCTGCCTGCAGCACTAAAGGACTCCGTGAGAGACGTCTGTCTCGCCCTAGCAGCACCTGTCCCTCTCCTCCTCTTCAGTTCGCCTCAACATATGCTCGTCATGTTCTGTGATATGATTTGTACTGAGATGTTTGACAAGGTTAGTGATGTTGCCACAACCTTACTTGCCAACCCTCCCGATTTTTCTGTGAGACCCGAATTTCAGTGCCCCTCCCGACAATCTCCCGGAGCCACAATTCTCCCGAATTTCTCCCGATTTTCCACCCAGACAACAAAATTGAAAAGCTATATCGCAGAATTCATAGCGCAGCCCAGCCAATTCCAGTTTCCAACAATGGCGGCAGCTACTTAGTTTTAATATTACTCTCATTTCTTTTTCTGGGTTGCAAAAAGACTTAATATATTTTCAGGTGAGAATGTAGCTGTGTAAACTTCAAATATCTGAGCCAACTGATACATCGTCTTCAAACCCCCGCGGTCTTTCGCTACTCGGGTTAAACATGAGATATAAGTCACTTTGATAACTTAAAAATGTTATTGTTTGGTTTTTTCTGTGTTTTATTTGTTCGTGAGTAAATCGGTTTGGCTAAGATTAAAGTTATTAGATTAGATTAAATTAAATGTAACTTTATAAATCCCTCGGGAGGGTTCCTCCGGGGTTTTCACACAGCTGA